GGGGGGGGGGGGCAGGGGGGCGGTCAATCGGGCAGTGGCAGCACACGCAGCATGCCATAGTACCTGCTGAGATGCTTGCGGTCGCTGCGCCTTTCATCAGGTGAGATTGGATCCGTCGGCGGCAGTACCAAGCTGCACGGCTTCACTGCGGCAGTGGCGGTGCTGCGAGCGGGGGTTGCCGCGAGGGACAGTGGCGACCCCGGCGACGGCAGCGATGCAACTAACACATGAGCACTCAAGCCCCGCTGTAAAGCATCGTGCATGCCGATCTATCTCAACTCATGGCAACGTCGCCGGCACGCCCAGCTGCGGGGGCAATGCAGCAGGCAACGCCACTGGGATGACGCCAGCGCGACGTCGACAGTCGCCCAGACCGCATGGTCATGTAGGCATTCGCAGTCCCATAAAATTGCAATTGATTGTTTAAATCAGTCTTCAGTCAGCGGCACACTCACCAGATCAGTCAGCACTCCCGATCTCCGCCATGCTCGCGTCTTCGCTGCGATCTTCGTGTCTACTCCATCGCCACACATGTAGCCTGGCCACCTCCATGGCCCCTAGGGTCTTCGTACCTCGCCGCCCGGTACGCGGGTGGATGGCGGGGTCTTTTTCGAGACTGGTCACACCTCTTTCGGCCGCGTAGAGGTCTTGCATGGGCGTGCAGAGCCTGCATGACGGATAGATCATTTCTGGCTACTTCAATATCGACAGTGCGCGTTGGCAGCCACCCTGAAGGGACCCAGTGCACCTGCACTCGTACGCAGCGCACAGAGCCACCGCAAACCCCTCTGGCGCATGCACACCACGTTCGCAGGCGCATGTGTGCTACAGCACCCCAAACTCGCAGGCTCCGCAGCAGCTGCAGAACAGCCAGCTCACAGCAGACGACCGGATGGCTATCATCGACCTGTGCAACAGGCATGGTCTTCCTGCATGCCATTCCTGCTAGTGGCATGTTTGCAGTGCCCGTTGCTGCCGCTGCTTCACAACACAAACTAGGCAGCTTGCATGCGCTGTGCCGCATGTCATGCAGAGGTAGATCAGGCGCATCGGACCGCACCCGCGCGGCGCGCAGGTTTGACCACATCATCAACGCGGGCCAGCAGCACACCCTGGGAGACCTGTTCACCCCCGATGGAGAGCTGCACCTCCCAAAGGTGAGCGCGTGCAGCGGCGGCAGCAGCGGCAGCGCCCCCATGGTTGTCCTTTCCGGCCCCGTCTCCCACAGGGGATGTATGACGGCCCTGTGATGTGAATCGCTGTCGGATGCCATGTATTTGCCGGGTTATTGGACGCTCTCCTGACACCCTTCGCCCGGGGCTGGGGGCCCCTGCCTGTGCCGCACCGCGACCAGGGCGTGGTCAAGGGTGCCGCCAACGTGGCGGCCCACTTCGTGAGCTTTGCCCCGATGGCGCGTGGCAATCGCCACCTCACCCTCAATACCATCCTGCACGACGGCGCCGGCGCCCATGCGGCCGCCAACGGCGCCCCGGCGCCGCGCACGGCCCGCGCGTCGTCGTACCGGCTGCTGCACCGCGCGTCCAGCCCGCCCGTGCTGCTTGCGAGCGGGACGATAGAGGACGAGCTTGCGTGGTGCGAGGAGGAGCGGCGGTGGCGGTTCTCGAGGCGCGAGTTTGTCATGGACCCGCCCGCGGCGGCGGGCGGCGTGCAGCAGCGGGTGGTGGAGCAGCAATGACGCCGCGTGCGCAGAGCGTGCTGATGTCAAAATGGACCTGGAGCGCCTGTTGGCGCGTCGTTGGCCCCTGGCCATCGGGGGCCCTCCACCCTGTCGCACATGTGCAAGGCATCCATTACTTTGACATTTGATGGGTCTCTGTGGCTGCATTACCGTGCAGATTTGCCCTCGTTTCCAGCGACGCTAGCATGCAGGCTTTGATGGTCGCCGCGTCATGAGTAGCTTTGCTCCTTGTGTGCGCGGCACCACCCCCTGCTCGTGGGAGCTCGTCACCATACTACGGTAATGCATCCAAAAGTCCTCGCGGCTTGTTGCTGTGCCGGCACGGCTTCAAATACCTGCAGCCAGCTGTGCAGTGCATGCACAGAGCTGTTGCATGGGGCAGGCCTGCCCATCCCGCCCAGGAGTGTGCACGCTGCAGGTCAGATTCACGCCTAGGCTGTGGGTCTGCGGCTTGGTCAAAGTCAATTAATATTGACCAAATTCTTGGCATGGCGCGATTTGCATTGTAAGCTCCCCATACAGCATGACAATCGTACATCCCAGCAAGGAACTCAAAATGACCAACAGGGGCCAGAACGGCTGACCGGCTCGTGGGCTCCCTGGCTGGCTGGCCAACCGTACATTCGCTGACTGGCTCATCAACTAGACGGCTCTCCGGCTGGTGGGCTGTTTTGCTGACTGGCTGACAGCTCCCCGGGTAATCGGCTGACCCAGCGCGGTTGGGCTGACCTGTTCGCCGGTTTCGCTGCCTTCCTGCCCTACTGCCTGCCAGCAGTCCGTTGGCCCACCCCGTCGCTTTGCAGTGTACCAGTACTTCGGACCCAGTAGTTTTACGGATAGGTATTCGTCGTGGATACTCAGATCGCTAGATCAAGGCGTCGTATCACCACTCAAGCGCTGCCTAATAAGGGACGACAGTCTTTGATATATTACGACAGGTCAACTCATTAGCCCGCGGTACTGGGGGAGCGGCGGCACACGGCCGCTCAAGGCGGCAGCGGCAAGGCGCCGCATGCGCAAGGATGGCGGCGCAGCTGTATTCCGACACGCAGATAGCAGAGTGCCTGTATGAGGTGCTCAGCGAGCTGGTGGAGGACGGGTCCATAGAGGAGAAGCTGGCGGTGGCCACGCTGAACCAGGTGGGGCCGGGACTGCATCCTGGTGCTGTGGCGGGTTTGTGGTGCTGTCAGTAGACCGCACGCGGCGCAAACGTGCGGCTTGCGCACAGTGGTACTTTGAGCTGAGGCCCCTTTTTTTGCCCCCCGCCCTTGAACCACTCCCATGGACCCCGCCTGCAGCTGAGCGAGGTGAGCGTGAGAAAGTAGCCGCCGCCGCCTGAATTCGCTCGCGCGGCCACTCACGTCCCACTCATGTTTCTGTAGCTCTGACAGCCGGTGTTGTGACCAAGCCCCTCCTCCAGACCCTGAACATCCGTGAAGCTCTCTCACCATGGCCTCCCGCACACCTTCGTGCACTGCCGAGCCCGCCCCCCTTTCCCTCTCTCCCCTTACCACACTGCTCTCTCAGTCCGTCCTGAGTGCGCTGACCAACCAGGTCCCGGCCAAGGCCGACATTAAGGCCACCCTATCAATGTACAAATACCTGGACAATGTGAGGGGGTGAAGCGCAGAGTGCACCAACGGGGGTTCTCATTTGGCGGCGGCCGGGACCCAGGGAGTCATCCAGGGGAGGTTTGGGGGTGAAGGGGTGGTGTGCTGGTGGACGCGCGGGCGGCTGACGGATTGGAGGGATTGTATGTAGCCTGGCAGCAAATGAAGGCCTGAAGTTGTGGAGGGGGGCATCCATGTGCTGCGAACCAGCGACCCAAACCCAGCGGCCCCAGCTGTCCTCAGCAGCCGCCGGCGAGAGCCCACATGCTTCCGCCCCTGCCCCCGGCCCCGGGCTCAGACCGGCCCTCCCCACCGCCCCCCTCCCCCGGGCGGCCCCGCAGGTTTGGCAGTTTGTGATGACCAACGTGACGTTCAGGCTCAACCCCCAGGGCCAGGGCTCCCTGCGCAAAGCAGCCGAGCTGAAGGCAGACAAGCTGAAGCTCATCTGCGTCGACGCAAAGCTGGCCACGGCAGCTCAGCAGGACGCGGGCGCGGGCGCGGGCGGCTCCTGAGCGGCGGCGGCCGGCAGGGGGCGCGCGGGCGCGAGGCGCGGTGTCAGCAGCATGGGGCGAAGGGGCAGGGCGTCGCGGCGGGGGCGGCAGGGGGCTGCGCCCGACCCAGGCGGCGCGTGGGTGGCGCGGCACGCGGCCTGTCCCTGGGCTGCGCGGAAACGGACTTGACGTCGCGTGCGTGTCAGGCGCCCACGCGGTTAGGCCATGCTACAGCGTGCAGCCATGCGGCAGTGGCTGTGCTTGGGCCATCCGACTCTACTTCGTCAAGTGGCCCGGGCGTTGTTTCCTCAGGCACTCTCCTGGCTGGCAGGACCCAATTTCCGCGACATGCATGCGGGGCGTTGGCGCAGGGTGCCATGTTTCAAAGAGCACACGCCGGCTGCGGGGTGCGTGCGGTGTAATTTTTGCTACGCACACTGCGATCCCTGGGCACATGGGCGTGCTCCTCCTCACAAAAGCTCCCCCGCTGTGATGGAACCAAGGACGCACATTGCATCGTTACAAGTAGAAGACAGCCCCACCAGGGAGAAATGCGCCCCCATAGATCCAATGGCGTCCCACAACACTCTGCTTCACACACAGCTGTGACGCCCGCCTGCGCCGCGCGGCGCAGCTGCCGGACGCAACCCATCACTCGCAAGCTCTCGCCGCAAAACTTCTAATAGCCTTAGCGGTCAAACAGGCACGTCCGCATGTGCAGCCAAACAAGGCAAGCCACAGCGAGCCTGAGCTGTGGGCAGCATCCTGCAGTGCCGCGCCAATGCAGCGCTCACAAACCTCTCTCATAGACCGCGAGGGCGCGTAAAGCAGCGCCCCCGCGGCGCAGGTCAGCATGGAAGGCCCGCGGCCCTCCCAGAACTACGCCTCATGCACAACCGCTCGCCAGTTGCACGCGCACGACTACGCCATTTCTGAGCGCGGTGCGGGATCTTGTCGTCGACGCGAGCCAAGGTCGCGGCGGGCGCCACGAGCCTGTGACGTGCCAGCCAAAGCCAGCCCAAGCAATCTCAAGACCAGGTCAACACCATTGCCAGTACACAGGTCAGAGCCAGCACGGCAAGCTCAGGCCCTGCTGAGGAACTGCTGCCCATAGACAGGCAGGTCGGCTGGCCGCGTGGGCGCGCGCAGCGGCGCGCCCTGCTGCTGCTCCGCCGCCTGCCGCTCGGCCTCGTCCTGCTGCTGCTGCCGCTGCGCCGCCTCGCGGCGCACCATCTCCACAAACAGCTGGTGCCTGCGCAGCGACGCAGGGGCGCGCAGTGAAACATGGCGAGCAATGAGCTTCTAAGGGCAAAAAGTGTTGTTCGTGCGCTCAAGTGAACGCACACACATGCGTGCCCCCGTGTGTGTGCGCTTGTGTGGAAAGAGGAGGCAAGCACACTGCAGCATCCACACCAGCAAGCTCAAGCGTAGGCTGCAGCCGCCTCAGGGTGGCCCAAGGACCCTCTCACCATCCGGCCGCCCAAGCACCCTCCCCCCCAAAGCCGCGCACCACCGCAGGTCCGACGTCAGCTCCGGGTGGAACGCCGTCGCCAGCAGCGGCCCCCCGCGCACCGCCACCGCGACGCGCGCGCGCCCGCCTGCCTTCTGCGCCTCCGCCTCTGTCAGCTCATACTCTGCCAGCACCTCCACGCCGCCGCCGACCTCCACCACCGCCGGCGCGCGGATGAACACCGCGCGGAACGTGCCCGCGCCGCCGAGCGACCGCAGCTCTGCCGGCGCCGGCAGCTGCGCCTCGAACGAGTTGACCTGGGCGCCGAAGAAGTTGCGGGAGACGCAGACGTCCAGGCCGCCCAGCAGCGACTGGCCGCCCTTCTTCTGGCCTGCGGCGGGTCCAGGATGCGCGGCGGCGCGCACAGGGCGTCGCGGCGGGGTGCGCGCCGTGAGGGGAAGGGGGCTGCGGAGCGTTCGACAAGCAATCAGATTGCAAGTCAAAAAAGCTGAATGTGCACACCACCAGGTGCAAGCACCCTGGCTGCCTTGGGTTGCGCAGGCCGGAGCCCGCCACGACGACGGGACCCTCGCCCGCCCCACGCCGCCCCGGCCGGGCCCGCGCCTCACCCTCTGCGCGCTCTGCCAGAAAGATCATCCCGGCACAGGTGCCCCAGATGGGCCGCCCCTGCTTGGCAAACGCCTGAAGCTCCGGGATGAGGCCCCAGCGCTCGGCGATGTGCGCCATAGTGGTGCTCTCGCCGCCTGGGATGACGAGGCCGGCCACTCCCGCCAGCTCCTCCTTGGTGCGGACCTCGACAGCAGTGACGCCCTCGATTTTCGAGAGCAGCGCCATGTGCTCGCGGAAGCTGCCCTGCAGCGCGAGCACGCCGATTGTGACGCGCGCCGTTGCGGCGGCCGCGCCGGCCACAGCGTCGCCGCGCTGCTCGACCGTCATGCTAGCGACTGGCGCTGAGAGCAGCAAGGGAGTCTTGTGCGCCTAATGCGCTGTCCCCGCGCAGTAAAGGCGTCGAGACGCGCGTGCAAGGGCGAGTTATCAGCGATCAAGGCTGTGAGCACAGCACACTGGTTGTCTCCGGGGCAAGGAACGCAGCCGCGAGGATTATTGCAAATAATTGGCAGACCAGCATTCTTTGAAAATGTGGTGCATGTAACAAGCGCTAGGATTCGAAGGGCCGGGCCTTCGAACTCGTCCGCAATGAATTGCCAGCCTCCCTCGACACCGCACCTTTCCCAACACGTCAAAAAAGACGTATTAACTATGGCTGCCACCCTTCGCACCGCTATGCGCGCTGCCCCGCTGCGCCAGGTGCGATTACCGGGATCAAGGCACAAGCATGTTCCAGGGCCGAGATGGGGCCGCAGAGGGGGCTAAAAGACGCAATTGCACGCTCTGATTGGTGTGGCGTCAGTGGCAGCTCCGCATACCGCTTGCGGCGCCCTAGTGCAGCGTGCGCCGGGCGCTTGCCCAGCCGTGGTCGTGGCGGCCGCCCGTTTCGATTCTACGGCGACCGCAGCAATAGGCACGTGCAGAATGTGTTGATCACAGGTGTTTTCTGGACGGCTGCGTCCGGTTGCTGCCCCACACCGCATGCATGGACATCACGCCCTCTTGTCACGCGGGCACCCACTGACCCCCCCCCCCTCCGCAGGCGCGCAGCATGGGCGTGGCCCCCATGACCCGCCGCGCCCTGGTGGCCGTGCGCTCCACCGCCACCAAGGCGCCCGAGGTCGCCGACTACGCCATCAGCGAGAAGGTGCGGGCCGCGGGCCCTGCGGCGCGGGTGCTTAGACCCCCGAGGCAGCCTGGTCGATGCATGGGGAGCACCGCAGAGTGGCGCCGGGCGGCATGGGAGCGCGGGGCTGCGTTGGCGGAGCGCGCAGGCGCCATGTGCCCTATGGCCCAGTCGGCCTGCGTGGGGCCTGGACGGCGCCACGCAGGCGGCAGCGCTGGCACAGCCCGGCCAGGCCGCGCAGACGGCCATGCGCCGCCCTAGCTGCGCCGCCGACACCACCGTCGGCGCTCCCGCCCCCCGCGCGCCCCTTGCCGCTGCGAAATTGCAGGGCGCCAAGGACTCCCTGGAGTACCGCATCCACTTCAGCCAGAACGGTGAGCCCTCTTTTGGGGATTTCGTAGGGTAGCATGAGCATGGTGGTGTTGCACGCCCCGGCTTTGGAGGGGTGGTGGCTGCGGCGGTCGTGTCTGGCAAGGTTGTCGCCGTCCTGGCAGGCTCTTGCTTCGCGGCCCCAGTGCCGCGGGCACACTGCCTGCCTCGTCTTTCCCCACACTCCTGCTCCCCTGCCCTCCACCACACCTGCCCGCCACGCTCCCCCGACGCACCCCCACCCGCGCTCCTGCCC